TTTTCATCCTTAGTGGTCTGGCCTACATGTGACTTCAGGATCACAGCAATGTGGTTGACTCTTAACTATCTTCTGAATTGGTCTAACAAGCTATTTATTTCAAGGGCAAGTAGGTATGGACAATAAACGCAGGCTTTGCCAGCAATGCCAACATCCTATTAAAGATTTGTTTTTTAAGAATCCATTATTGGGAAGCAAATGCTAATTATGAGTGCAATAACAGATACACTAACAACCATTTAAAGGTAATCAGTTGAATTCATAAAATTTATCCCTGCTTGAAGTGATAAGCATTCATACAGCTGAGAGCCATTCTCTGCAAACAAAAGGAATATACTCAAGGCATGTGCCTTTTTTGTGTTATCTGAAAGCAAGGGCAGTCTATAGTTCCCGACTGCTTTCTCTGTGGCAATGCCTCAGACAATCAGAAATGACTTGTCAACTCAACGCTTCCTTTCTCCTGTAGTATAATTGATTGGGATTGTTTGAAATTTAGCATTCTTGTACTTGGTCTGATAAATGCAACAGGAAAACCTTTGGCAACATGTTTCTCTGTTCAGCGATACTCAAGTTCTGTATTATGAAGCACTGTTTCTAAATAATTCTTCATGTTGTCCAATTTTGTAGTTAAGTGCTTGTCCATATAACATATGGACATATAAGTTGCTAACAAATATGTGATGCTATATCACCTCTACGTAGAGACCAATGAATGTTCATAGAACTTGCATTTCACAAGAGTTATCTCAAGATAAAGAACCCATGTTTCAACTCAAACTGAAGACATCTATAGATCAAATTGGCAAGAATTTATTTTGGCAAGAATTTCTGGAAAACAAAACCATGCTGTCATTACCCCTATTGTACAGGGCCACGTACATATTTACATACTAATATGTATTTTCAAGTTAATGAGTTGCTTCTGAAAAACAGGATGCATCTTCTACTGTAAAAGATACATCCTTTATTTCAGAAGCAACTCATTATAGCCAGCCTTAAAGATCCAATGTAAACACTAATTCATTAACACATTGAAACTAAAACAAAACTTTTTGAATAATCTGAATAGTCAGTTTAGATATTAAATCAGTTAATGTAAATCTTTTAAATGTGCTTTTTCATATTTGTGTGTCTTGTGGCATGGTGTAAAGACAACAATCTCTCCATCAATGTCAGTAAAACAAAGCAGCTGGTCATCGACTTCAGAAAACAGAGCAGAGGACATGGCCCTGTCTGCATCTGCGGTGCTGATATAGAGATGGTTGAGAGCTTCATGTTCCTAGGAGTAAAGATCATTAATAATCTATCCCAGTTCATCTACGTCAATGATTACGAGAGAACACCAACACTTCTACTTCCTCAGGAGGCTAAGGGAATTTAGCATGTCCACAACGACTGTTACCAATTTTTATGGCTGTACCATAGGAAACATCATACCTGGGTGCATCACAGCTCGGTATGGCAACTGCTCTGCCCAAGACCATAAGAAATTATAGAGAGTCATGAACACAGCCCAATCCATCACATTAACCAGCCTTCCATCCATTGATTCCATCAGCCTTGGGAAAGCAGCCAACATAATCAAAGACCCCTCCCACCCTGGTTATACTCTCTTCCATCCCCTTCCATCAGGCACAAGATACAAAAGTTTGAAAACAATTGCCAACAGAATCAAGAACAGCTTCTTCCCCACTGTTATCAGATGTTTGAATGGACCTCTCATATATTAAAGTTGATCATTCTGTGCATCTTCTCTGTAGCTATAACACTATATTCTGCATTCTGTTCTCTTACTCTGATATACTTATGTATGGTATTATTTGCCTGGATAGTACGCAAAACAATATTTTTCATTGTATCTCAGTACATTTGACAATAATCAAATCAAATCAAATATATGTACGTAAGTCATTAAAATGGTGGAACATATTGAGAACAGTTTATAAAGCATATAGTAATCTTGCTTTATTATTGGAGGTATAGAGTACAAGAGCAAGACAATTATGTTGAACTTGTATGACATGCCAATTTCACCTCAGCTGGAGTTTTGTGTTGTGGACACTACACTTTACAAAGGACATAAGGTATTGGGGAACATGCAGATTACATTTACAGGAATGATTCCATTGGTGAGGGATGTTAGTCATGAAGATAGATTTGTGTAGCCAATTTGCCATTCATTCAAGTACTGGTCCTCTTATTCCCTTGTGTACTTTGTTATGAACTTACCAAGTAATACTTTTGTCAAAGACCTTTGGTAAATCCATACACTGCATTCTCCTTGTTCTTTCTCTTACCATGTCAAATACATCTGTTAAACAAGCTACGCACAGCTTACCAAAAGAACTGTGGATGCTGTAAATCAGGAACAAAAACAGAAGTTGCTGGAAAAGCTCAGCAGGTTTGGCAGCATTTGTGATGAAAAAATCAGAGTTAACGTTTTGGGTCTGGTGACCCTTCCTCAGAACTAGTACCTTTGACAATAATAAAATCAAATCGAACAAGTTCTGAGGAAGGGTCACCAGACCCGAAACATTAACTCTGACTTTTTTCTTCACAGGTGCTACCAGATCTGCTGAGCTTTTCCAGCAACTTCTTTTTTTAAGCGTAGCTTATCCTTTTGGAATCATGCTGATCATTTTCATTGTATTTTCTGACTCTAAATGTTCTTTGACGTTTTTTAGTATAGATTCCAGAATCTTTTCTATTTCTGACGAGAAACTTACTGATGTATGCTCCTCCAATCATCTTCTTTTTGTATACTGGAACAACATTAGCTGTCCAGCAGCCTACTGGCACTGCTCCTTGTTCTTTGAAACTTCTGTATAAATAAACAAGTGCCTTTCCTAGTTTCTTTGAGCAAGGAAATCGTTCAAAGCTGAGGTTTTAATGCTCATTTAGTTTTGCTAGTTTCTCGACTGTTTTATCAGCTTTTTACTCATAGTGTTAATCTTTTTATCCTTTAATGATAAATGTAAATTCTTCATGAAAATGTCAGATGGGACTTGAAACTTTAGCTCTGTTTCTATCTCAACAGATGGGTTTCTCCAGCATTCTCTATGTTTGTTGTCTATTTTATTAACTTCAGTAAAATCTGATCTGAATCAGTTGTCTGATACTCTTGTCAAATCTAATATTACCAATGGTCAGGATTTTCTGGGCCTTTGGAGGATCACCTCAAATATGTAGGGGAATTACAGGCAAGAGGTTGGAGGAGACTTCTGGGAAAGATGCACTGTGCCTAGTACAGCCCACCAGCATCATTGATTCAGGAGAGGGGCCCTTGACTGACAAGGAGCACCTCAGAATAAGGGAGCTGCAGCCACAGGGCTATCACAGGGTATGGAAGATTGTAGAGGGGACCATGAGCAGACTGTAACCCAAGAAAGGAAGCCCTCCATTTTAACTTTCCCACAGTGTGTATATCTTGTTTTCATGTTTTTGCTTTAAGTCAGAGCTGAACTTTCTTCTAGTACTAACATCTACTCAGGACCAAAGCTTTATCTCATCTCTACAACCATTATCAGTCATTTTGTCCTATTTCAATCTCTAATTTCTCCTAACATTTCCCTGACCTTTCCTCTGTTCTACTTGCCCATCCTACTTTTACAACCGCAAAAAAAGTCTCGTTTCCGCCTTTCAAGTCATTTTGGACTTAGAACATTAATTTTGTTTTTCTCTCTCCATAGATTCTGCCAGATCTGTGTTTTCTGTGTTTATTTCAGGTCACTTCGTGTGTTGTTTTTCTGCACAAAAGCGTCCTACCCTCCTACATCTTTCATACCGGACATGTTTTATAGGACCCCGTTCACCACCTTAATGTCCCAGCTTTCATAAAGGATAACGTGCTTTTGAAGTTTAGTTAACATTGTTTGCTAGGCAAATACAGCAGTTAATTTTCATGCAGCAAAACTGCAAGAAGCAGTGCAATGTAAGTTTATCTGAAGACAACAGATAAATATAACTAATCTACAACTCCTTGACCCCGCTAAATATTACCATTGACACGTTAGTCACACCTATTTAACATATCATCCTAAAGATAGCGCCATCAAGAGGCTAACATTCTCAGTGTTGGATTCGCCTTGGGTACGTCCTCAAATTCTGGCGTGGGGCTTCAGTACGAAATCTTATGATACAGGGCCTGCGAAGGATAAAATCTGCAGTTTTCACTGCGGATGTTGGTTAATTGCAGCCGTCACAATACAATGTCAAATGGTTGCAATCATGAATACGTTTACACATCCAACGAAACGAGCTGAATTCGAGAGAAGCGTATTAAAATGGAAATGCCTTTGCAAAACAATTTTGCTACTTCTAATCCGAAGAATAAATTACAGATTCACCAATGATCGAGCTCCTCCAAAAAAAACCCTGCTGGTGAATGTGAAACCGGTTGGCTTAATAACAACAAGTGACATTTCGGATGGGAGAAAGGGCATGACTTCATTTGGGTTGTCCCTTCCTCCTTTGTCGCAGACACCTCTGTATAAAGTTTGATAATCGATAAATGCTGATTGCTGTAGTTTGCTGTTGGGAGGTGGGGAGAGAAGAAGAGCGCGAGCGCGCACACCACACGGCCCTCGCCAGCTCGAGCTGAGCCCGGCTGCGGTTACTAGGCGACCTGCGTCAGTTGGCACGAGAGCCGCGTCGGTGTCAGCTCGAGCTCGAGCCCGAGCCTAGACCAAGGCCCCGCCCCAACTCCCAACCCAGCGGCCGGCTCCCTCCCCTCAACCCCCCCCCACAAACAGGGAGTTTTACTGCGAGTTTCACAGAGCACACCGAGATTGCGGGAGACCGGCGGGTACGAGTGAGGGTTAAACAGGTTATTGGGGATACGGAGAGAGTGTGGGAGTTAGTGGGGGGAGAGACAGAGAGTATGTGTGAGTGAAGGGGCAAACCGGTTACTGGGGATAGAGAAAGAGAGAGACAGGGAGGGGGAGACCGGGGGAGGGGGAGACCGGGAGACGGGGAGAGGGAGGGGCGGGGGGTGGGGTAAACCGGCTCCCGGGCCAGTGAGACACCGAGAGATGACGGAGCCCAGGAGAAGAAAAGCAGAGAAGGAGCCGGAGAACCTGAGCGACAAGGTAAGGAGTTACGTGTACTGTAGATGGGTTTGTGTGTAACCAAGTACAGTAGGAAACCTACATCAGGGTTGACTCTGCTGTATGTGATGAGTTACTGAGAAAATACGTTTAAAGCAGATGTGCAGCTTTATTAAAAAAAAAGTCCGTAATTATTGAGGCATTACAACTGTATAGTAACAATGGAACGCCTTTAAAATAAGAGGGGATCTGACTACTTTTTTTGCTGGATGTATTACATGCTGAGAAAATTCTTGTAAAGTCATGTTATTCGTATGTAATTTTGGTAATTGTCAGCACTGTGTGAACACCCCCCCCCCCACCTGTAAATTACTAAATCAAGCCAGAGTAAAATGATTTTAATTTGTGTTATACGTTTCAACAATAACTGAGACTGAAAGATAATAGGTCTCAGCAGCTACAGAGTCACATTTCATGGGGCATCTATATTCATTACACTTATTATCAACTGCATCATAAAGTGCAATATATCATAAAATTACAGGATTGCAGGTGACAATTAAGTTATAATATTATAACTTATGTGGAAAAAAATCAAAATATTCCCTGTAAAGAAACTATTTTCTGATCACTTGTAAACTTTCATAATCATGGGTCAGAATCTCAAAGTACTATGGACATTTTTAGTTTGAGATTCCAATATGTGTTTTTGAGAGGGCTGATATAGCCAAAAATGAATGCGGATGTAAGTTAAGTAGTTGTCTAGCGAGAGAGGCCCGCACAATGTCACACCTATCAATATAAAAGGTATTTTGAAAAACGGCCCTTCAAAACGTTGAAGAGGCAAGATAAAACAGACTAGATCCCTGTTCAATAGCAAAACACCCCTGTGGATTATGTCTCAAACTGCATACAAATTTTGTTTTTCCTTTTGAAAAATACACAAAGAACAAGATTGAAAAGACAATTTTCAATTCCACCGGAGTGTGCTAGTGGGACGCTTTGTACCAATCTTATCAGTTAGAGCATGTGATGTGAAGGTCACAGTTGAACTATCTTCTAGTCACCACTGTGTTTCAGGTAAAGGAAGACCCTTCTCACTCAGTTTTAGTTATGAAGAGAGATTGGATAGACTCAAGTTGTTTTCCTTGGAGCAGAGGAGACTAAGGGAGCATGTGATCGCAATGATAAAATTATGAAGGGCGTAGATAGCGTAGACTGGAAAGAACCTTACCACTTGGTGGAGGGATCAATGACCCGGGAGCATAGATTTTAAGGTAAGGGGCAGTTGGTTTAGAGGGGATGTGAGGACTTTTTTTTTCATCCAAATGGTGGTGGGAATCTGGAACACACTGCCTGTCAGGGTGGTAGAGGCAGGACCCGTCCTAACATTTAAGAAATGTTTGCGTATTTGTGACCCCAGGGTATGGAAGGCAATAGGCCTTGTCGATAGACCAAGTGCTGGAAAAGGGATTAGAGCAGAAGCAAACTTGATGGTCCAAGAGGCCCTTTTCTGTGCTGCAGACCTCTTGTGACTCAATTCAGCCAAAAAGAAACAGGACAACAGAAGGACACACACTCTCACTGAATGCTGGAATTAAATCATGATCAAAAGCAATCAGAACTACCAAATCTCAACCAATCTCAAAATTAAGGACTAAAATTAAACCAGCTGTTCAACTACCGATGTCAATACTACTGGAAAACTGTTCTGCAAAGACTGTAGCATTCCAACTATAAACTCTTCGTGGACAATTCAAAGACTGATCTGTTTTTTTTTAACTTTTATCTGTTTGGACTTGCCTCTCATTTCCAATGTGTGTTGCATTCTAATTCTTTCTGCATTTAATAATTAATAAACTCATACATTGTTAACTCATGGGTGGGACAGTGGCTCAGTACTTAACACTTATGCCTCACAGCGCCAGGGACCCGATTCCACCCTCGGGCGACTGTTGTGTGGTGTTTGCACATTCTCCCAATGTCTATCTGGATGCTCCAGTTTCCTCCCACAGTCCAAAGATGTGCAGGCTAGGTGGATTAGCCGTAGGGAAATGCAGGGGAATAGGGTAGGGTGCTGGGTCTAGGTGGGATGCTGTTTGGAGGGTTGGTGTGGACTTGATGGGTTGAATGGCCTGCTTCCACACTGCAGGGATTCTGTGATTCAAGGAGGCCTGGCTAAATTTAGCTTCTTTTAATTTCACTTGGATTTGGGAGAAAGGTATCCATTCAAAAGGGAAGACTTAAATATTAATGTCAGTAACTGCAAAAGAGATGATGTGAAGAAAGCAGAGCTGTATCTAATACTGTTGTGTAGAGAAGAAATGAGTGTTAGAAGCATTAGTGCTATTTAAATGTTCAGTGAGATTATAATTAAGGCTGAGATTTAGGATTATTTTTGTAATGCTGGTAATTGTTTATGTAGTGAGCGAATCTAAATAAAAATAAGTCCTATTATATTAACGGTTCTGTTCAGAGGGTCTGAGTTTGTGAGACAAGTAATGGCCAAATAAATATAAAGTTGGAAGGAATGGACAGTAACATGTATCACAGAAAAGACTACAAAAATGAAGCATTAATTAAGGCCTTCATCAGAAAAAAAAAATTTTAGGAAAGGTTTTGTGTTATAGCTGACAGAGAATTATATACTGTGTTTCCTGGTAAAGATTTTTAAAAATCTGCTTATTACGGTATTTATATAAGCATGGAAGACACTTTAATACGTCTCTGTGAATCATGTAAATTGCTGCTTGTCTTGCTTGGAAATGAATGACCTTCACCTTGAAAGTCTTTTAACACAGTAAATTACACTATTGGACTTCGTGTAATTTAAGCTTCTTGAAAATTATGGTTTGTTTTATTGAAGACCTTAATGTTTTTATGAAAGTTATGTGAAAACAATACAAGTCCATACAGCAAAAATAGCTCTGAAAATAAATTTTTGCAAATTATTAAAATTCTTTTTAATCAATTGCAAACATATAATTTTGGGATAGTTTGAAAAAGCAATTTCCAGATTTTTTTTCATTACTTTCTAACCAAAATTAGGTCCGGAGAAGTTTTCTCAGTTCGTGAGATGTGGATATCACTAGTAAAGCTACTTTTTATTGTCTATTCTGGTTGCCATTGAGAAATTGAGCTGCTGTCCATGTGGTAGGCATACCCATGATGCTGCTGGAGGGAGAGTTTCAGAACTTTGGTCGTGGTGATTGCAGTTCCAAGTCAGTTTACTGTGCAACTTGAAAGCGAACTTCCAAGTAGTGTTCCCATGCACTTGTTAATCATTCCTTCTAGATGGTAGTGGTTGAATATTTGAAAGCCACTGTTAAGTGTGCCTTGTGAGTTGCTGGTATGACTCTTACAAATGGTATACATTGCTGCCATACTGCAGTTGTGGTGCAGGATGTGAGTGGGTGCTGATCAAGCAGACTGCTTTGTCCTGGACATTGTTAAGCTTTTAGAATGTCATTGGCTCTTATCCAGACAACTGTTGAGTGTTCATACTCCTGACTTGTGTCATATAGATTTTGGACAGGCTGTAGGGAGATGACAGTTGTTACTCGCTACAGAATACCCAGCCTGTTGATGTAGTATTTAGATGCTAGTTTGATTAGGCTTCTGGTAAATGGTAATTCCCAGGATGTTGAAATGGTGAAACTAAATAATGTCAAGATTAGGTTCTCCCTTGGTTAAGATGGTCATTGCCCATCTTGTGTGACTTGACTGTTACCTGCCACTTACTAGCACAAATCTGAATGTTGTCCAGATTTTACTATATGCAGATTCATATTTGAACTAAGGCTGCAATTCGATCTGGAGCTGAATGATTTTGGAAAATGCCTACTGAGCATCAATAAGCAAGTTATTTGTGAGTAAATGCTACTTGATAATCTGCCGTTGTGTCTTCCATCAATTTGATGGTTTAAAAGTAGATTGTTGGGATGGTATTTGGTTGGATTGGATTTGTCCTGCTTTTTGTACTGTGAATACCTCACTTTTATTTGTTTTTGCACTTCATCATATGTTGTGAATGTCATGCTGATGCCGTGAGGATGGACCTGATTTTCTACAGTAAATGGAGATGTGAAGAATTTTTTTAAGAATGGGGAGTGTTGGGCTATATTTTCTAAATATTATTTTTACTGTAACACTCTCTATTCTTAATTTCCTGGAACCCACAACTTGATAGTCAACAAAAGTAACTTGGTCCTAACCTTGCAGCATCCCCAGGAGAAATATGACTGGCACCTCAATTTCTAAAGTATTATGGTTGAAATATCTATCCTTATAACTTTAGTAATGAGTTGCCTTCTTGATTTGCTTCACTGAACTGATGACAGTGTTCCCATTGCACCTACTGTCTTTGTTCTTCTAGTGAGGTCATAGCTTTGAAAGCCCCTATTGAAGGAACCTTGACTAGCAATCCACCTTAGATCTTACTGTTGTGAAGTTGGGTAAAGTACTTGTGGATTGGGAGGCAGGAACTTAGAATTTGGTGTTTGTAAAATGTTATGGGGGAAAGTAGTGTGTGGTCCCTTTAAAAGATGATGTACTTTTTCTATGCTCACAGATTCAAAAAAGATATCTGTGGGCAGCAGCTTGTGGGTTTGCAAGTGCACAGAGAGCACTCAAATTGAAAATTTTTACAAAAGGCCATGCAGTTAGCAGGCCAAGCAGATATTTTGTTCTGTGACCAAGACAAGAAGTTTTGAATTTAGCCAATCAATTTGAACCAGGCACTTGCATACCAAAAAACAATTAAACTTAAATCTGATGGTTTTGACAACATAGGACCAATCCTAGTGTAAGAAATTGATAGGGCATCAAGCATATAAAAGAAGGGGGCGGTTGGACAAAGACAGGAGAGTTAACTTCCATCTGCCACAGTTAACAGCTCTCAGCTCTCTAGAGAGTCGCTGGCCTTCAAAGTCGTCTTTAAGTCATTGAGAAAACACCATCTAAGTCAAAGGTACCAGCAGCACAACTAGTTAATATTCCTGACAAATGAATCAACAGAGAAGGTGTTTCTGACAGAAGGCACA